TGCCTTGCCATTTCATTAAATTATATGCACGGGTATAAATGTGATGCAACAAGAACGTTGTGGAAAATTATTTTAGAATCGGTATTTTCTTTAAAGACGTCTAAGGAGGGTCGTAGACGGTCAAAACTGTCGTGCGAAAAGTTGGACAGAAAATTTTGAAACTTTTTTTAAAGAAAAATCTACTGAATATTCATAGCTTATTACAAACAATTTCTCAAATTACTTCACATAACTTAACTTACAGTTTCATAAATTAAACTCAAGAGACGTCATATTGTATACCCCAAACGAATATAACCCCGTGTCTAGGGCATTATATAGTCTAGGATTAAAAGCGACCCGCTGTATATTAATCAGGGAAATTTCGAGATAAGTTTTCCAGATTTTCGACTGATAAATTATCCAGCCAGGGATCAAGACAAACAGTTATAGAATCGTACGATTAGAAGTTTAGAAATTCGCTGACAGACGCAAAATCAGAAAGTTCACTACTCCTGCTCGAATAGACGTCGAATATTTCATTGGTTTTTGCCCTCGTCCAACTCTGTTTTTGATGTTTGTCGTTCTGTTTCAAGTCCGAAACTTCAGTTTATCAAATTCTGAAATCTGTCGGCGATGTAAAGATTCGTACAATCTTGCTAATCTCAAAGTGTCCGTAGCAAGAATTCAAGATTAATTTATTTATTTAGTCGCAGGCGTATAGAACAATCCGGCTTTTTGCAAAAAGACTAGGCATATTATACAACGCCGTTTTTTTACACAAAAGAAGGAATTTTTACAAAAAGCCTAATCAGAATTAGGCATATTAAACAATGATGATATTTTCTGTACACTTCTGGAAAAAGACTGCCTGTTTTCAGTCATTTTGCAAAATACCAAATCGAGAATCGAGGCCAGGCTGATTAAAAAATGATCAAAGTTTATAGTCAGCTATGAGCATAAGCATACTGAATAATTTACGCTTTAATAAAACTATCCCATATTTTCCTATAACAAAAACAACTTGAATTCTGTTTTATAAATTTTAATGATAAATAACATAATTTTAAATACAAAATACTAAGGGCTGGCAAAGGTTAGTCTTGGGTCGAGATTTCCGTATGTAAGGAGAGTACAATGGCGTTTATAATGTACTGAACAAAGAGAGGACAGTAAACACGTTGCCAAACGTATGAAATAAACTGAGAAACTGTGCACATCGCTAAGAGACGTGGAAGGGGATATAGCAGATTTGTCGCAGTTGACCGGTCGACCCACTTGTGTCTAGCCCTAGCAGGCAACTATTAAGCCCGACCAATCATGTTAGAGTTTTTGACAAACACAAATGAATTAACACACTCCAAATAACCACGCTAACCAACCTGATTGGTCAAGCTTAATAGTTGACTGCTAGGGCTAGACACTTCTGGTCGACCCAATACCTCTGTCAGTACTTAAAGTTCTAGGAAAAGGTGTACGTCATGCGTTCAGCTTCACGATTTAATTACGTCTCGTGATACTTAATTTGTTTATTTATTAACGAGTCGTTGTAATTTTCCCTATAGCTTGAATATTTTTAAGTGCAAGCTAGAAACACTAGCATTTTTGGTAAAAATAAGTGGAATTGAGTGGGTGTTCGATAGTGGTTGCGCTATTAGAACTCTGAATTCAAAAATCGATATCTCGAAATCTATTAGAAATAATAGATTGTAGTTTTTAAGTTTTAAAAAGTTTGTTAATATTTCTGCTGTATTTTCGTTGTAGACAGTATGTGAAAATCTTTATCAATAAAAAAATTACACGATTGTAATAAGATCCCTATGCGATTTACTTCCACACATGTAAATGCCGACCCAAAAGTAACAGTTGCCAGCACGGTATATTAAAACCTTAAAATTAATATCTGATTTAATTATTATACTCTGTAATTCGATTCTGTGTACAGGACTGCTTCTTTGTGGAACTTTGCTTTCTTTTAGAATAAAATGAATTTAAATCTTTATTAAAATTGACCTACTACAACAAAATATATTGATTATTAGTTATTTTATCGGCCTTAATAATTCAAAATAATATAAATAAAGTACTAACTTGTTACCTAAAATTATGAGTGAATGCCAATATACAGAGAGATACTTTTTTAAGGAATAGTGATAGTAACAGGTCCAGAAAATTTAAATATACTAACTGCTAAACTACTAAACTGTTGATATTTATTTAAATTTTCTTAATACTATTCAACTCCACCCAATCGAGAAAATTCCACTATATTTGCAAATTGTACAAATAAAGCAGCGAAAACCAGACACTTGTGTGAAAAAATCACTTTTACAAGGTTAGATAGTGAAGGTACGCTATTGAATGCTTTTCCTTTTGCAGTAAGCGGTACCAGAGTGCTGTTTTACTCATTAATCAACTTGAATTCGTAGATTTACAAGGAATTTTGCATATCCCAGAAGAATAAAAATATTAGAGAAGTTTCAGTAGGTATATTAGTCCATAAATTCTAGTTATTTTTTCTACAAGACGATAATGCAATTTTATGGTCGTGTATAAAACAATATTTTTTTTCCATAGCCCCCCCCCCTGGCCACTCCTTGGCTAAGCCCCCCCCCCTGGCCCATCCCTATTTGCGCCTCTGGATATACGGCAATTTTAACAGTTGCTATGGAAAAAAAGATATTTACATGCTAGAAGAGCTTTTCTATGATAATTTATTTCTCTGTAAAATTGATTATAAAAACTATGAAAATTATTGATATTTCCTTATTACTGGGTGTTCTTTTATTTTCATTGTTATCGAATTATTAAAATAAAATCAATCATAATAAAGCCTTGTAGTTTAAAGGAGCTTTAAATTTATCTGTGGCCATATTAACAAAACTAAATGTCACAAGTGCTTCGAATTGAAATGAGTTGATTAATGAATAGTTTGGCAAAACATACGATTTCACTTTGAGTGCCTGAACGAAAATACTATCGATATTTCGTACTACCTTATTGATATTTGGACTAGTATAGATTATCGTGTAATTCCAAATTGTTATTTAATCAATTGAGAATCGGTTTTTATATAATGTATAAGGTTCCACTACAGGTATGAATGAGTTTTGATTACTTTGGTTTCAACCTTTTTAGTGAATCTCTGTTGTTTTTTTTAATTTTGATTGCAGCTACTGTAAACAATAATTTCATTCTCATGTCTTCATAAGTCGTCTTACATCACCTACAAACTGTAATTCATTTGATACAATTCTTTAATGTCAGGAAAAAATCTAATACGTAATCATCACCAACAATCTTAACAATGGCCAACAAAATCGAAATTTTTCGACCAGTCATCTGTGTTGCACAAGAAAAATCCAACTCCAGTAGCGTTCAGATTTCAAGTAAGTAAAAGAGAAAATTTTGTATTTCTATGAAAACATTTCCAAATCACCTTTTTACGTAGAATTTAATGGTTTAAGTATAATTTTTTTTAAATTAATAATTTAAGAGTTATCAACAGAAAAATTGATTTTTTGTTTCGGACACCCTCTATATTTTTAATTAACTGAAAAGAATTTAAAATTACCTTTCCAAAAATATAGCACACTTGATATTTTGTTATAATCCCCTTCGAAATACAGAATTTTTAAAATTTCGCCACTTTTAACTAGTAGGCTTTGGACCCCTTATTGATGTTAATGGAACTCGAAAACATACTTTTCCAGCAAGACGACGCACCGCCTCTGAACGCTGAAGTTATCAGCAAATTTTTGCAGCCAATTTCAAGAATAATTGAATAGCTAACCAAGATCCCAGCCGTTGGCCGTCGAAGCCGCCTGACTTAGTGCCCGTGGATCTAATCCTATGGATATATTTGCGGAAGAATAAAGGTTCCTTATTCTTCCGTATAATCTAGACAGGAATTAGAAATACTTAGTTATTAGAGGGTATCTTTCACCTCCACTGGGTTAATTAATTCCGCGAGAAATGTTCAAAAACTGCCCCCTCTGTCCATAACAGAAGACGGTCGATATGTCGAACACCTGTAGCAAAATCTCATGTCTTGGTTTGCTATTTATTTTTATTGTTATTAGATATAGTCTAAATGTGTTGATGTTGGTTAAATATATTTTAAATTGTTATAAAATTCTGCATCTTTCATAGCAAATATTATTTTCGTTTTAATTGATGCTCACAGCTAAATTTTTTTTGTATTACAGCCGGTGCCGTTCAAAGCCTACTTATTTAAAGCGGGCGAATTTTTATATACTCTATATCTCGACGAGGAATCGAGCAAAATATCAAGTGTGTTATATTTTTGGACAGGTAATTTTAAATTATTTTCAATAAATTAAAAATATACAGGGTGTCCCATATAAAAAATCAAATTTTCTGTTGATAATTCTTAAATTCTTAATTTTAAAAAAATTATACTTAAACCATTAAATTCTACGTAAAAAGGTGCTTTGGAAATGTTTTCATAAAAATACAAAATTTTCCATAGCAAAAAAGTTACAGCGATTTGTTAAAAATGCATATTTTTGAAAAACACCCCGTAACACCGAAACGGTAACAGATATCGATATGCGGTTTTCACCATCATGTTTTTGACAAAAATTGAGCTCCAGACTCATTTATTTTTCAGTTTTTTAATAATACCGATAGACAAGTTTTCTGTACGCCACTGCCTTCTATTACAGTTATTTTATAACACTCTCCCTTTTAAAGGTGAAGTAACTGTACATGATATACATACTACATACTTAATAAAAAAGTATTTCCTGAACACCCAGAATTCCATTTAATTTGTGGCCCCCATATTATCAATAAAATAGATACTTATGTTATTACAAGATAAACTAACCATATACATTGCTGTTTTGACTCAACATATTCAAAAGCTTCAAATAATGCTTTTAGGTCTTTTGCAAATTTACATTTTTTATATTGTTTCAGATAAACAAGTTTTTCCTTTGCACCACCCTGTATAATCAAAGAATCCCCAAAATACATATTTCCTATACTTGTTTCAGATACAACCATCTTCAGGAAAATCCGGAAAGATTTCTAATCAATTGCATCAAGGAAGTAAACCGAACAGTCAACAGCTCGAGTGAAAGTGATCTTGTTGATTTTTAGTGCCTTTAAACATCCTTATTACAAATCGTTTATTTACATACTACCGGTGATCTCAGTGAGATGTGATGACAAAGAAAAGGATTATTAAAAGGAAGAAAAAGAAGTGCCATTTGTGGATTCCCCTCCAATGAGACCGTCAAAATGACTTTTCGTCTGTACGTGAACACGTCAATATGGATTATTGCACTAGTATCTCTAGGTAAGTCTGCTTATTTTATTAGAGTAGTAAGATTTTTCGCGACCTTTAAAGAAAAAATGTAAGGATATATTATTGTAAAATTCACCGTTATGGTATTATTGGAAACAAGCCTAAGCAATGGGATTAATAGTAAAAACACTTATTAATTAAACATATTTATTTAAATGATCTTGTAACAAAACATGTAATATGCCGGTAAAATGTTAATATTGTCGGTATGTCTCAAGGTGTGGCAGTGTTATTATTTAGAATTGTTGCAGAAAATTGGTTTTACAGTCGTTAAAAATGTCCAGTTAAGAATTATGAATATTTATAATAGGATTGTGTGTCTAGAATAGATGATGAAAAAACCGTAAAATTTAGATAATTCAGTAATAGTAGAAAAGCTCAAGATGATGTATGCTCTTTTAATATCGATGTCTTGAGATAGAGACTGGTGCTCTGACCATACTCTCGAAAAGGCTGTGATTAATAAAACTTAAATAAAGACTTGTAAAAAAGGAAATTTGTTGGAATGCCAAGTTATATAATTATTGTGCGTTATTTTCTTCAATTATTTTTTTTTAATTGTTAGAAACTATTCCGTACTGTTACTCAACTGGAAAATAATAATTAAATTTATTTTTATGACTATTATTTCGGTGAAATAATAGGAAAAAGAAAATAAAATCGAATGGCATCATATATTTTAAACAAAAAAAGCAATGTTTTCCAGTCAATGCAGATATTTTTAAATAAAAGAGAATATTTTATAAAAATAACATTTTATTTTGATCGTGTTGCTTCAGATTTTGCATGTTGCAATCGTATTTCTTGTGTTTTTCTATGGATGGAGATATGTTTTTAAAAGAAAATAATATAAAAGTAAAGAATATTTGAAATATAGGAATGTACAGGGTGGGTCAAATTCGACGCTTTTAAATGGAATCACCCTTTTCTATAGGAAATAGACTAAAACTAATATCGGTGTCTGGAGCTCAATTTTTGTCAAAAACATGATGGTGAAAACCGCATATCGATATCTGTTACCGTTTCGGAGTTACGGGATGTTTTTCAAATATATGCATTTTTAACAAATCGCTGTAACTTTTTTGCTATGGAAAATTTTGTATTTTTATGAAAACATTTCCAAAGCACCTTTTTACCTAGAATTTGCAAAAAAATTCTAGCTGTGAGCATCAATTAAAACGAAAATAATATTTGTTATAAGAGGTGCAGAATTTTATAACAATTTAAAATATATTTAACTAACATCAACACATTTAAACTATATCTAATAACAATAAAAATAAATAGCAAACCAAGACATGAGATTTTGCAACAGGTGTTCGACATATCGACCGTCTTCTGTTATGGACAGACGGGGCAGTTTTTGAACATTTCTCGCGGAATTCATTAACTCAGTGGGGTTGAAAGATACCCTCTCATAACTGCTAAGTATTTCTAATTCTTGTCTAGATTACACGGAAGAATAAGGAACCTTTATTCTTCCGCAAATATATACATAGGATTAAATCCATGGGCACTAAGTCAAGCGGCCTCGACAACCAACGGCTGGGACCTTGGTTAGTTATTCAATTATTCTTGAAATTGGCTGCAAAAATTTGCTGATAACTTCAGCGTTCAGAGGCGGTGCGTCGTCTTGCTGGAAAAATATGTTTTCGAGTTCCATTAAGGGCATTCTATCAATAAGGGGTCCAAAGCCTACTAGTTAAAAGTGGCGAACATTTAAAAATTCTGTATTTCGAAGGGGATTATAACAAAATATCAAGTATGCTATATTTTTGGAAAGGTAATTTTAAATTCTTTTCAGTTAATTAAAAATATAGGGGGTGTCCCAAAATAAAAATCAATTTTTTGTTGATAACTCTTGAATTATTAATTTTAAAAAATTATACTTAAACCATTAAATTCTACGTAAAAGGTGCTTTGGAAATGTTTTCATAGAAATACAAAATTTTCCATAGCAAAAAAGTTAAGGCGATTTGTTAAAAATGCACATTTTTGAAAAACACCCCGTAACTCCGAAACGGTAACAGATATTGATGTGCGGTTTTCACCATCATGTTTTTGATGAAAATTGAGCTCCAGACACCGATATTAGTTTTCGTCTATCTCCTATAGAAAAGGGTGTTTCCATTTAAAAGCGTCGAATTTGACCCACCCTGTACAGGGTGTATATATTCTAGACGATATTTATTAAAAATTGACGGAGCAAAAGAATTAATTATTTGTTTGTCTAAGATATTGATAAAAAAAATTCTCGATGCGTGACATAACACCATAATAAAATAACTAATTTTTATAACGTTTCCTGAAAGCAATCTAGCACTCATTAGGGATACATTTTCTAAACCAATCACTCTAATTCACCAGCTAAGCTTTGCTTGCTCCAACTCAAACTTACAGAATAAGACCAATTAAGATTGTTCCTAATTCAAAAGACGCAGAAGTTCTTGTTTTAAAATTCAGCGGATGGTAAAGTGAACCATTGTTGTACTTCGGAACTACCGTTATTGGTTCCTTTCGTTTTACTCTATCTCTCTGTTTCTAGCAATTTGGAGCTTTTGTTTGGTTTCAAACTTTGGTTTCCAGACATTTTTGAAGAGCGAGCACTGCAGCTCAGAGTAGTAAATTCAGTTTTTAGAAGAATATCTGATTGAAATTTTGGAGATGTGTTTTGTTTACAGTATAAAAATTCTTTTTTAATTTAATTTACTTTTTTGTTATCGTTATTAATTGAGTTTATAACTCTTTTTTATTGCTTTCTATTGTGCGTTGCTTTCTCCCACTGATTCTATATGCTTATCCCCTTTAAGTTTTTGTGGAAAATATCATTGTACTTTTTGAGTTGTCTACCCGGTTTCTTCTTAACCTCTACAAGCTCGCCGTAAAGAAGATATTTCGGTAGGCGGTTTTCTTGGACCAGCCCATCTTAAGCGAGATTTAGTAATCACGACTTCAGCGCTCTCGCAGCTAGATTTTTCAAGGACCGACACGTCTATTGCTCGGTACACTGCAGTCAAGAAGTCATGATTGTAGAAAACCCTGTCTTTAAATTTCCAGGATGCTCTTGAGGCGCTCCTAATCTTGTGCTGAATTTCAGGGTCGATATTGGCCTTTTCCGAAATCAAACTGCCGAGGTAATTCAATTCCGCTACATATTCCAATAGTTCTTCTCCGATTTTTATAGCATTGTCATGATTTTCCGGTGGAGTGCACATGATTTCAGTTTAAGACCCAAAGCTTCGTTGTACCAGTTCAGGGATAACATACAGACATATATTTTCCTCAATTTTTTCGTGAATAATATTTAAAAACCTGTTCTTTTACCACTCTGATTCGGTCTTTCGCAAATTCCGATCGCGATCGATTTCAAGAACAATTACAAATCGCAGAGAAGAAATAAAGTTTCTTATTATTGACGTTCGTCTTTTTATGGAGCTTTAGAGCGAACGATGAAGCTTTTCGAGCTTTTGTGTGTTCGTGGCAGGGGCATCAGGCTGGAGGGCAGAGGCAGCTTAAGAAAAATACGAATCAGCCTCTTTCGTATCGCCGGAGAAACCCTGATGATGATGCGGATCGTCAAAATTTCCGCCGTCGAAACGTTATTACTGTTTGGTCTGAAGGGTATTAATCAAAGAAAAGTGCCAAAGATTAATTTTCTTCACTAGATTGAGAAAGAGAAATATATATAAAGCTTTTCTATTTTCTTTGAATAAAAAGACTACAATTTTTCTTAGTATCTATTAATTAAATTTGTCTAAATTAATCGTAATAATACAATAACTTTTTTTAAACTTAATTGGAATGAATTAAGAACAAAGAGCGACTGTCTCCATTTATCCACTGACACACTTTTATTGTTTGAAACAAGCGAGATTGCCACGAAAAGAAACTGCCTGAAATGGTTCTGTTAAGAATTCGTCTTCATTATGTATTGTTGATGGACATCCTGTTCTTTAAAGACAAATTTAGAATATACTTAGTAAAAATATTTAATAATAGCACAGATTAGGTATACTATATGTATACAGATAAAAATCTTATCCCTAATTCGTGGTACGAAAATTGTTTTTTATGACGATGTGCAAACGAGTAAAATTTCCTGTGCGCAAAAATAAACTCGCGTAAAATAACAATAAACAGCAATGACTAAAGAATATAAGGACATGTAACGCCCCTAACGGGCTGCAGCCGAATTTGTGACCTTTTTTTTTGTTTTGGTGGCAAACAATGAGTCATCATTTGGTCACCAGCGACAATTTTAGCGATTTCTAATAGTTTGTGTGTAGTAAACTTTGTATTAACTTTATTACAATGGTGATTAGTTGTTCAGCTTTCAAGTGTAAAAGCAGCAGCGATAAGAAAGAGCCAGGAGTTACGTTTCATAGGTAAATAAACAGTCCACTCCAACTTTTTAGCGTTTTCTTATTGAATTCGATAATTATTCTTCAATTTCAATTAACATCTATATGTACTTGATATGTGCTATACGTCGATACTAGTTTTGTACCTTTTGTTAACATTTTAATACGTTTTTTTCGTAATTAATTAGGATGATATACCATAGGCGTAGTCAAAACAATTATCAAAAAATATAAATATTGCTTCAAACAGCTAGGTTAAGAAAAATATGTGCCACGGCACTGTTTGGTGACAGCGTCACAATTTGCTCTCGGGTGTTATTTGTCCTTGGATTCTTTAGTCATTGATAAACAGCGTAATAGAGAGATATCGTTAAACCGAATAGCGTGCATGGACGTTAATAAGGCCAGGTGTTATTTCCTTTACGTGAGGTGGTATTAACTCTCCTCATTTATAGTTATCGGATCGGAAAGAATTCGTCCGCTATTTAAACTTAACCTAACTTTGAATTTAAAACTTTGAAATTGTTTTGTAAGCCTCTTTATAGGTTCTTTAATATTGGAAGAGGTGGAATCCATATTTTGGGCCACATTTATTTAATTAAAACTAATCCCAGCTACTTAAATATCAAA